CTTTAGTATCAACAAGAACAAAAGTTTTCTGATAAACCTAATTCATGATAAGTTCCCTACTCTTCAAATGATATAGAAAAAAAAACCAGACTTATATTCAAGCACAATATGCTCAATATGCAATTTACAAGAGGAAACCCTGAAACATCTTTTTGAATATAACAAGACCCAAAGTGAAAGATCAATTATATGTGACAAATCTCAAAGTAAAATCCTTCAGTATATCAGGAAAACAAAAAATCTATCTAATGAGAGTCAGGTAGAAGTTAAAAAAGTAACAGAAAAATGGATTCAAAACATTAAACAATAGGATGAAAGCCTATATAATACAGTCTATGGCTTTATACATAGAGACAAGATCAAGATCCTGGAAAAGCACCTCAAAGCCCTCAAGATCCTAGCAACAATAACACAAGAGACTATTAATAAATTTTGTAAAAAAATAAGGAAGACCTTTAAGAAAGAAGTCTGAAACAAATACTGTAGTATTACTATTGAATGGGAACAAAACCAAAGAATTATTAGCAAACTCAAAAGGCTTAGAGTACCAACTGATACAACTAGAAAAATGGATTGAGTCCTTAAGGAAGCCAATCACTCCTCTATTTGTTTCTCCAGAAATATAATAGAAGAAAAAGAAGACCCAGAACAAATGAAGTCCCAAGGCAATATAGTAGATATAATAAATAGTTGAATATCCAAAGGTTTTAAATGGTTTGGTTTTTAATTACAGTTAGAACTTTAGGAAACCTACAGTGATAAGATGTAAACAATAATCTGAGTGGCTAGAGGATAATCCAAGCCATAAAGAAAGCAAAATATTATCCTCTAAGTTGCATCTAGAGAAGGTTAAACTTTATAGACAGGTGAGTTAATATATGAAAGTTATAAAATATGTAAATATCAAATATGTTTACAATAAAATAGACAAGCTATATTGGCCTGATTGTGGGTTAAAAAATAAATAAATAATAATTCAAAATTAAAAAATATTTTAATTGAAAACAAAAATTTTTTAAAAAAATTATTTATTAGAATAAAAAATTTTTTTAAAATAATTTTGAATTGATTTTTTTTTTTTAATATATTAATTTAATAATTTATTATTTTACAAAATAATTTATAGTGATATCAAGTTTAGAATATTATATTTGATAGCCTGATAATCTATCTATTCTAGCATATAATAGTTAGCCATATATATGATAGTTTACAATGATAGTTAAATTTTTTTTTTTTTTAAACCCTCTATCAGGCTAGGTATGTGTGCTTTATTAAACATATATATACTTTACATTAAAAATGTATCGCTAAAGCTAAGTCTCTATCTAACTCACTCGTCTCTATTTTAAAAATTATTAAAACTCTAAGTGCAACTTCGGGAGTGATTTATCGCTCCGTTAGCAGTTCAGGTAATTTACAATGATAGTTAATATATATAGTTTTTTATTTAAGAATATATACAATAGACATATTATCTCTTTCTTTTTTCTTTTTTTGTCTATATAAGTACATACAATAGTAATTTCTACATATTGAATAACTCAAAAAAAACTGTAGGGCTTGATAGAACATATGGCAATAATAACTTGCCAACAATAAAATGATAGATTAGGAGGGGTTTCACCTAAAAACTACTATAAAGCAAAATATTGTCTTTAAAGTCAAACTTAAAGGCTATTATTATCTATAATAAGTTAGTTAAATTTGATAGATGTCTAGCTATAGTATATATCAGGCTGTTTGAATGAAAATATATTTATGTTTTCAATTGATTAATAAACTATAATTTAGCCTGGCTACAGGTACTCAAAAAATAATAATAATAATTTATAGTGACAAAACATTAATAATAATTTGAATAAATAAAGATTTTAATATCAATTAATTAGTAAATAGAATATATTTTTTTTTAATTTGATTTAAGATATTTAATTGAAACTTTATTTTATTTAATTTAAATTAATAAAAAGTTTTTTTAATTATATAAATAATTTGAATTTAATAAAAATATATACTGTATATATATATATATATATATATATTAATCTTATGTTAAATTGCTATTTTTGAGACCAGCCTGACAAAATGTTTAGGATGTGCAGAAGATAAAAATGTGAAGAATTAATGCATAATAGAGACAAAAAAAAATAGAATATATGAAGTCTTCTATCTAAATACAAGAAAATTCATGAGAAAAACTCAGCAGTTAAATATTCTAAGTTTTAAAATAGTTTTAGAAAGAACAATGGAAAAAACAATACAAAATAATTATAAATCTAATCTGAACAATAGAGTAAGTCAAATAGATATAGAAAATTGGGAAGAGCAAATTATTAGAGATAATATAAAAGAAAGAGCATATCAAAACTATCTAATTGAAATACTTTAATATAATCAACAGTTCAAAAAAACATTGATTTTTTACTCTGATGAATTTCTTATCGACCATGGATATAAAAAAATAAAGATGGGATTAGCATGAGTACAAGTTGGAAGAGAGGATAGAGAAAGTAATTTCCAAATAAGAGTAGATGACTAGTCATCATTCACTAGAACTGAGCTAGTAGTAATAATCACAATATTACTAGTTGTTTCAACAAACAATAAGATCAAGATTTTTACAAATAAACAAGCATGTATTGTCAAATAAAAAATAATAGAGAAAGAGAATTCCAGAAGAACTTACAAAAGATGGTTAAAGGAAAAGAACTGGTCCCTGTAGGCAAGAATGTTAGATATTATTAAAAAAAAAGAACTGGATCTAGAACTGGTTAAGATTAAAGTACACTCTAATGACCCTTATAATAAAGAAACAGATACTCTAGCAAAAAAAGCCTTAATGTTTCTGTAATTGAATGGAAGAATCTTACTTCATCTAAAATTATTATTGAAATCAAATAATATGAAATGACTTTAGATAATTTCACAAGACAGTTTATTAAAAATATAAATAACAAAGTTACAGCTCATCAATGGACTAAACAAAATAGGATTTCTAACAAATAGAATCAATAGATTTGAGATCAATATGACTATACATAGAATTTGGTATGAGAAAAGATGAAGGGTAGACATACTTGGAACATCTCCTTTAAATATTCTCAAGAAGGAAGCTTTCTTATTAAATTAATCAATGAAGAGTTATCAATACTTCCCAAATTGGTCATAAAAAGACCAGATCTATATAAACAAGTAGAGTATATAGCATGCAAATAGCAAGTAAAAACAATAAAACACCTACTAGAATGTCTAGCATATAAAGTCCAATAGCAAGAAATTTGAAACAAAGGAGCTGAAGGCATTCTAAAAGACTTTTGAAAACTTCTGCATAAGAGAAGAAAAGAAATAGAAGAGAAAGAAATAAAACTTCTAGTTGAAGATAGAGTAGAATTAGAAGAATTGGACAAATATATAGTCAAACTTATGAAGAGATTGCAAAAACAGGTCAGAACATATTAAACTTTTGCATGGGACTAATACGAAGTAATCAGATATTAAAAATGTCAAATCTAAGATGTTGCCAGAAAAAAATAAATAAAGAAGCCTGAAAGTGAATAGTAAAGATATAGAAGAAGGTTTGCAATCAATTCCAAAAGAAAATATGAAATAAAAAATACTCAAGAATAATCGAGTAGAAACAAGCATAAGGGATTTATAGAAAAGACAAAATAAGAAGATTAGTCAGTTCATTAAACTAAAATAACAAGATTACAACTATAAAAAGGTCTATACAGGAAAAAAAAAAACTTGAATATAAAGGTCTGAAACAAATCTTTCTAGAAAGAATAAAGTATAAAATAAGATGGTTAGAATTTTAATTTCTATTAGAACTCATAAGGAAGATTTGCAGTAGTGATCTACAGGTAATAAAATTAGTAGTTGGAAGGGTATTCACCTGAACTACTAATAGAGTGATAAATCACTTCTAAAATTACATTTAAAATGATAATAATCAAGATGAATAAGTTAATTGGAAATTTAGTAATTCATTTTACATATATAGTATACTAATGTTTAATAAAGTATACATAATTAGTCTAATAGAAGGTAAAAAAAAAAATTTACTATTTTTGAGTTTTTTTTTTTTTATCAGTAGTAGTGATCTGCAGATAATAAAGTTAGCAATTGGAAAGATTTTTATCTAAACTATTAATAGAGCAATAAATCACTCTTGAAGTTGCACTTAGAATTTTGATAAATTTCAAAGTATTAATGAATATATTAGGTAGAGATTTAGCTTTAACAATATATTTTTAATAAAAAGTATACAAAATATTTAATAAAGCACACATACCTAGCCTGACAGAGAGCTTAAAAAAAAAAAAAACTTTTTAAAAATTCTTCAAAATTAATTTTATAAAATAAAAAATAAAAATCTTTAATAATTCTTTTATATAAAAATTTTTTTTAATTGATTTTTTTTTAAAAAAAATTTACAATAGTAAAACTATATTCTTTGATCGCTTTATATTTCTTAATTATTTTTTTAAACTATAATAAAAAAATAATAAGACTAATAATTTTGTTCTAAACTATATATTTTTGATATTATCTGTATTATAAATATAATAAAAGTTTTTAATTTATAATATTAATATGATACTAACAAAAGCTTTTATAATCCAAAATCATCTTTATTAATATAACACGTCTCCTCGATCGAACAATTAATTTACAATAGAATTAGCAAAGTTTAAATAAACACACATAACTACACTAAATGTACTAATTGGCCATAGATGATGTTATTTGGTAAATACGCCGTCAAGATAACGTAAACAGGAGTGTCTATGGTCGTGTAACATAGTACATCATAAAAGGCAAAATTGCGCTCTACAGCAAACACCGTTGATTTATATAAAACAAAGAAATGCTTACGTATATCACATGTGATTTATTTATTCTACAATCTATATTATTCAACTTTATTATGTATGTGATTTATGTGAGCTCCCTTAACCCAATGCCCTTCCTCGCATTAACAAATGCATGCCGCTTTATACTGAAGTAGTGGAGATCAACTTTGATTGAATCATAAAAACGTTTGGAACTCCGATCTCAGGCTAGCAAAAGAATTAAATGGTAAATTTAGCCAAAAAAAAAACGAAAAGATGCATAAAAGAAACAAATACTCACTCGATCGTCCAAACCCTTCGTTAAAGCAGAAATCATCATATTGTCATCCTCGTGATCATTATCGTCTTCGTCTGCATAGTTCTCTTCTTCATCGTACTCGGAGCCTTCGGTGTTTTGAGAAGATTCCTGCATTTCAATGTCTTCGTTATCTCGAAGTTCTTGTGATCGATCCGTTTCATCAATGCCATTATTCCTTAGTGAATCAGCTTGCAACTGTTGTTGTATTATTGCCCCTCCTTGAGACCTACGAGTTGAAGAAGGATGTTTTTCCTTGTTTCTGCTTTTCCTTTGCTTGGCCATCCGACATTGATAGAATCCACATTTTTCTGACCAACCACTCCTGCAAATCCAACAAAACCTATAGCCGCAATGCAGACAATCTACCTTGTTACATCCATCATCACGATTGATGAGTATAGAACAGTTTGGACAGGATTTCGAATTTGCGAGTTTCCATTTGATGTTTTCGAGCGCGTCCAGCGTGTCATTGTGCACGTGACAAGGGAAAGGTTGATTTGTGACGAACAGGTGAGGGTTCGCAACTTTGTAGCGCATGAATTGGATACAAGTCATTCCAGGGTGATGCGTGGATTCGCCACATTGAAGGCATATATCATTGTTGCAACGAGTACTATAGACAACAAGGAGTATTAGTAAATGAATGAACTTTGTTCATTTAACGGGTTAAACGAATAAATAGATAAATATATGATACCAATGAGATTGAGGGAAATTTGCCACATGCATGAATTGCAATTCTTTCCATGCATCAGGCCTAACCTCCAAGGCCACAATCCTTGAAGAGATTTCAGCGGCGGATTTGACCATGTCAGCATGAATTTTAAGCTTACGTCGCGTGAATTTTGCAGAAGGTCGACGACTGTTCGAGTCCAAACTGCAAAGAGTTACGGGTTAAAATGAACGAGATCACTTGACGCCCCACAGAGTACATGAACAACAATTCACCTCATGCCAAGACTCTCGCACAACTTCTTAGCGACGTATTCGTACATCTCCATCACCCCGATATTAGGATTCTCACCAGAAATATAGGCCATATAATCTTTTTGATATCTTTCGATGAAAGCGTCAATGTTATTTTGATGGTTTGACGCCGCTGCCGAACTTTTTCCCTTTGTATTTTTAGCAGTTCCATATGTGTCCAAATACTTGCGAAGGAGGACTGCGATCTCTCTGAAGTACCTATGATGAACACAATCAGAAAATGCGTAAGGTATGTATGTATACACGTGGATCGAATACAAATGATTGGTAAAATAGATCTGCATACTTTTCTTTCTCCTCGGCACACACTTGAAACACTTGAGCGGCGAAAACTTCCTCACCGCATTCGGAACAGCACCGAGAGAAGGAACGATATGGCTTATTGTATGCATTATAAAGATCAATTGTATTTTGATCCACATACTGAAAAAATTTCCGATCATTATTGCCAGCTCAATTAACCTGATGAAATATATCTTACGCCGCATTTACCTTACTCCACTCCGATTGCAGGACAACGTCCTGACAGACAGGACACTTGATCTTCGTGATGCTAAGCCCCCAAGAATTTTGAACCACTTCTTTGACGTATCTAATTTAAAATCGGTGACAAGTTGACAACTCTCCTGCGCAAACACACGAAGGGCATCAAGTAACGAAATCACATTTACCTTTGGAAACAATCTCTACAAAATTGATCTCTGCAGAGATCCAAGCAGAAATCGAGTTGAGCGTCGAAACATATGGAACATCTTTGAAGCCAATATTCAATATCTTGGACCGAAGTCAAAGCTTCACCCTCTCCCCCGTTATCACTCCTTTGCGAGGAGGAAGAACCGGAACCGCTTACGGACGACAGATTGAATATGTTGGAAGATCGAGACTTGTTTAAGGTGAAGCTGTTGCCAATAGCAGCAGTTTTAGAAGCAAAAAATTGCAAAGAACGGACAAAAATGGCAGGAACGATCTAACATTAAAAAAAAAAAAAGAAAAGAAAAGACAGAGAAAAAAAATTTTTTTCTTGGTTAATCTAAAAGTATGGCTGAACGCAATTTCATGTGCAATGATCCGTGAAGGTTGGCTGTTGAATAAATCAGTATCCTGATTATTTAATACACGATACCACTTTTGGCATGGAGTTTCATTTCTGATCCGTGTATCTCGTTACAAGTGAACCCACAAATCTCGTTTATAACACTTACCAAAGTTGGTGAAAAAATGTAAAGAAGAGGAAGGGTATAAGCAAGCAACAAGTTTACTATGGAATATTGCTTCAAGTTGGTGTATATCGGTGAAAAGTAGTATATATAATAATTGGTTGAGAGATTTTGGTTTCCCAAGACCAAAAGTTGAAAAGGAAGAGAGTTATATAGAGTGTGATAAAAAGAGGAAGCCAAGAGATCCCAATGATTGTTGTTGACCGATTCGAAAGAGGGCAGCGAATTAGAATTAAACAAATTCAATGGTTTCATTTGAATGATTGATCTTTCACTGGTTTAAATATCTTCGGGTGATAAATTCGGAAGGAAAGTGGTAGAAATAATCTTAATAAGCTGCACGCGGAGTTGTTTGAGTTTAAAAAACCACAGCAGTACAACGTGGAGCGCGGGAATTGGAAACAGGGATGGGGGGGGGGGGGGGGGGTACGGGGTTGACTGACAACAACCAGACTACGATTTCTTTCTGGCACTTCAGCAACCCTTCTAAAAGATGAGCAGTGTATTTTTTATATATATATAAATACAATAATGTACAATCATAAATAGGCAACTTGAGTGAATTGAGGTGTTAGTAAGCGGAATCAGAAAACCGTCCGAGCTACGGAGGTAAATAAAAGTTTTTCGGAAAAAATATTACTTTATACAATAGGAAAAAAAAGAATACCAAGTAGAAGATGATTTGGTTCAATATTTATCGAGATATTTTTACAAAAAAGATGAGACATAAAATTATATATAGAGAGGGGACGAAAGAAAGGGAACCTTTCTACCCTTGAGAATCCCAAATTTGTAGTAGAACTTGAAATAGTAAGTATCTGAACACCGCATGTTGATTAACAATCTACAGACGTCATAAGTTTCCGATAAGGCATAGTCGTGTCACAACATCGACCGGGAAAGGAACTGTGACCTTTCGAATGCGCGCTGGGTCGGATGACGATGATATTATTATGATTATTTCAAAAGTGCGTATGCACTCGTCGCTATGCTCGGTTCCAGAATCACCCGATGTTTTTTTTTTCTCTTGTAATATCACGTATACGATATGGATGGCACAAATTTACATACGGGAAATTCTTATCTCTCTATCTCCATCAGTTTGGGATTAATCTAGATGATGTCAGGAAGATCATGCGACGCATTGTAAGGCAAATAAATAATTGGGCAATAGAAGAGTTTCAGGGCATTGTTTCAATTCTCAAGCCGCAAGTCATGTGAAGGATGGCTCGATATTGCGGAGTTCTCCTGCGTGCCTCCCAATAAATATTCATTATTAGTCACGGAGAAAAAAAAAAGTTTTCTTTCAATCCGAGAGTTTAGGTAAAATTAATTTGTCCTTTTATATTCTTTCCTTGCTTCCGCAGAGTCTTATTCAAGTTTAAGTAGATTTTTAAGGCATAATTAAATCACATATATAGTAACATAATTGATTTTCCAATCAAATTCACACGATGCACACATGAGACAGGAGACCAAATTTGGTATCATTGCTTCGAATTTTATTATTAAAATAACGAGAGGGGATTTACTACCCTCCCAACATCCATTGGTAGGAAAAAGTCGCATATAATCCTCCATCCTTTTGAGAACTGGTTTGTGCAATATTCACGTCATTCCTGATTTTCTACGTACGTAGGAATTTTTCTTTTGGCGCGGAAATGAGTCACAGAAAGAGTTTCCCATATGCTAGTTCTTTAGGAAAATCAAAGAAAAGGTGATCTTCAAAGTATTGTTATTGTCGATCTTGCATTGTTTATTAAAATTAAAATTCTATAAATGAAGGGCTATGTACTGTATTTTATTGTCCCTCACATGATTCCCGTGTTTAATTAAATATCACCTATCCTACCTATCCTAATTCGTTTATCTCACCAAACCAATATTATCACCATAATTCCCAAACCCCGAATTAGCAGCATCCACCTATCATCATTCCTTCCGACCCCTGCGTTCCTTCGTCCCGGTGGATTTCCTCCGGACACCCATGGACAAGTCCCGGGTATAAAAGTGTCGGGATTGTCTTGGGTTGTTATGGGTTGAGTGTTGTTTCCAGGGGGTTGCGTGTTGTCACCAAGGGCTGGTGTTCCGCTAGAAAAGACATTATTCGGATCGTATTTTGATTTAATTTCTTGTAACTTTCGGAGATTTTCTCCAAAATAGTATTGTCCTGGGTCTGGCAGGTCAGGATCGAGGAATCCCTTTTAATAAAAATGCATTGTATTTATTGCCAAGAAGTTAGAAAATATCGAGTACACTCTGTGGAAATTGGAACGCGCGTATGAATGATACCTGATAACTTTGATGATTTGAGAAGGGCCTGATAATGATATCCCATTTTTTTATCCATGCCCAATTAGGTGCGTCCGCCTTACTATTTCCGGTGAGAGGGACCGTTATCAAAAGATGATAAGCGACACCGATCCTGTGGACGAAAGCCGTGATATTGCCGGGCTGAGTCGACAAAATTCCACCGTACGCTGTAAGTTCAATGATTGCACCGATCGGCATCACTTTTACAAGCATAACTATATCGTTAATCACCACGGTGGACAATGAATCGTTAAAATACATGGATTTGACTTTCACCAATTCTCTTTTATGCAGAGGGCCAGCCGGGTAGTAGGGTAGGACACCTTGAGTGACAACAGAGTTCATGGTTGAATTAATTTTCATTGTCTTATTGGTTTTCGGATTAAAAGGGTTCGGTCCGAGGGGCGAAGTTCCAATGTTAAGCAGCTCTATCTTCTTGCACGTCATCTCCGGATCAAGGAAGTAGGCACGTGAACCAAGGTGATCACACGCCATCATCTTTTCGCACTCATTGGGAATCGGCGACAGATTGGCTTTTACCAACATTTCATGCACGAGAGCTATGTCGCCCAAATAATGCCCCTTCATCTTTATGGTTTCTTTTGTTATAAAGAGTGTGCATGACATGTTTGCCGGTGCTTTGTGCCCCCAAAGTGTAAAGTTGCCAAGGACTTGACTCAAAGCGGCGGGTTTGTAATCTATCGTGAACACGGTGTTTGATGACCATCCGGGAATTAACTTCAATTTCCATTGTGTCACTATACCGTAAGCAGCTCCACCTCCACCTCTCAGAGCCCAAAATAAATCCGAATTCACGTTCGAATTCGCAACCACGAGACTACCATTGGCCAACACCACCGAGGCTTCGACCACAAAATCACCGGTGACACCATAGTTTCGTGATTGCATGCCGAAACCACCGGAAGCAATGATTCCTGATAATCCTATTGTCGGGCTATAACCTGACACTATGGTGAAGTTTTTTCGCGCGAGCTCTATATATAAAGTTCCAAGGCGTATTCCGGCGTCTACTATTGCCGTTTTCTCAGCCTCGTTAACGACCACCTTTATCATCTTGCTGATGTCTATCACCACTGAGCCATCCAAATTCGAGTACCCTTCATTGCTATCATGTACGAATAGATGCAGTATACCAATCAATGAATAATGTATTTTTAATCGGAAGTCGGGCATGCCTTTAATAGAGATAACGTCCAAGGACGTTTTTTTCCTCACCTGTGACCACCATCTCTCGGACACGGTCTTATGTTAAAGGCTTTCGAACAAAGCACGAGCCATTGAACCTGTGTCGAATTTTTTGGATATGTTACCAACTTTGGATATCGTTGAACTCTATTTATGAATGTTCGATTAGCATGCCATGTGCCGGTAGAAATTAAATCGAAAGTGAATAACGGAGTCCAATTACATTATCATCTCCCCGACTCTGACATCATTGTAAAGCGGATCCGTTGAAAATATTGTTTCAACACCAGTTGCCAAGACACATTCTTCTATCGACTTATAGGAGCTCGGTTGAAAGTCCGCATGAGTTATCCCCAAGGACAATGCTACACATATAAACAGGAAGACTATCCGGCGCCTCATCAATATATTAAACATTATTTGTTTAAGGTCTAGGGAGAAGCGCAATGAGTGTAAAAACCGATTTTTATACAGCAGAATTCTTAGATTATTCGACTTTGACCAAATAAGGGAATTTAAATAAATACACTGTCGCATTTGTGTTCACATGCGTGACCGATAACGGCCGTCTGTTATGGCAAAAACCAATAAGTTTACTGTGTAATCTCTGATGCGCTTGTAAATCCGGCCTGCGAGAATCGTGCATGCACCTAAATCCCAAATCGTCATGCCGTAAATAAACTTTTTAAATCGTGCATAATACTAATAATGATTGAGAAATTGTTTAACCAATAATTAATATTGAATAACGAATCAAATAATTTATTATTATTCTATAGTTGCTTAAACATATGATATCTTTTTTATCTGATGTCACATGACACAACCACCGATTCGCAGATCATAAACTATTGTATCCAATACATATATTATGGAGATTTCTGAAAGAGGATATTCAAGATATAATAGTAAGATCTCAAATTTATAAATCAAAGGTTGGAAATCAAAAAGACAAGAGATATCATTGAAATTACTTTAAAACAATAATATAATATTTACTGTAAGAAACAATCAAAGAAGATTGGTTAGCTTAACAAATTAAGTTAAAATTGAAATAGGTTTGATTGAATCAAGGCTAAGCAAGACAATATCAAATACATTACAACACAAAAAAAGAAATAAGACATTATCCAGAGACATTCAAGAAAAAAAAACAAGTTATAATAGTTTATCAGAAGATTGAAAAGAAAAATATTTATTTAAAGAATATATTTAAGAATTTTAATATAATAAATTATTTAAATTAATTTTCAAAAAAAAAAACCATATAAAACACTTTATATATTTTCAAATAACAAAGTTTTAAGAAGATTATAAATTAGTTATAAAATATTAAAGAAGTTAAATAAAAAAAAAAAGAATTTTCAAAAAAAATGCTTAATAATTTTTTAAAATTAATAGTTATTTCAACATATTAAAAATAAAGTCATATATATTTCATAACTAAATCAAATCATAAAATTATAAACTTTCAAATATTAGATCTATTTTTCTATTAGAAGTTATAAAAGAATGTTTTGTCAAAGTTTGTATTAATAAAATAAAAAATATTTATAAAAACATTTAAAAATAAGTTCCTAAAGAAGAAAATAATAATAAAGGTCAAATATTCTTTACTAGAAACATTAAAATTTTTAAATTAATAATTATAAAAAATTATTTAAAATAGTTTTCTATTGTCAAAACTTTTAATTTACAATATTTCTTAAATTTTGTTTCTATTAAAGTAAAAAGTTATAAATTTTCTTTCTTAAAAAGGAACATAAATAATTTGTAAAATTTTATATATTAAATATTTTAGGAACCCATTCTTAAAAGCAACAATTTTTAAAAAATCTAACTATATAGAGCTATTGAAAGAAAATACAATAAAATTGATTTGACTTTTCAATAATTTTTGAGAAAATATAAAAAAAACTATAAAAAACTTCAATTATATTTAAAATAATATTATAAAATCCATAGTAAAATTGATTAAAAAGAAACCATTTCATTACTACTATATAAATTTTTTTATAATTTTTTATTTTGCAAGATTTAAAATAATATATAAAGAATATATAAAATAGCAATTGCTTAAAATCTAAATTTAAAAAAAATACTATTAAAAAATTAGAATCAAAATATATAAGTATAAACTTTATAGATAATATAATATAGATAACAAGATTCAAAAAAGATATAAAAAAATTTTTAAAAATAACAAGAATATTTTATAAAATTAATAATTTTTATATTTATAGTATCAAGTTAATCTTAATAATTATTAATAATTTTAATTGTTATTCAAGAAAAGTTTAAACAAATATCAAAGAAAAAATAATCAAAGAACTTAATAGAATTAAAAAAAATCAGATTTTTAGATATTTAAATAAACAATTGAAAAATTTCAATTAAATTAAAAAAATATGTACTTAAAAAATTAACATACTAATCAAAGTTTTTAAAAATAAAAAAATAATAAATAATGTCTCTATATTTTAAATAAAATATTAATATCTAGAATAGAGTTTAGAATATAATATAGTATATTGTTCTAAAAAATATATAATATCTTAATAATAATATATATAAAACTTTTTAATAATTAGAAAATTTTATATA